TATAGGTCAATTTGTTCTTATAGGAAACTTCCGCCGCCGGCTTGCCCGGGAACTGCTTGTAACAAAGGGCATCGCTACTAGGAACAAGAACGCTACTAGGAGATATGTGAACTTTTGCTACATGCTTTTTTACACGAAGGATATATCGGAGGTGTTCGCAGTTATACCTGGCTTTGGCCACACGAAATCATCGGAATGAAGCAGCAAATCATGGAGGAAAGCATTCCTACTGAAGTGTTCCAGGTGGGGCGGTCAAAATGACACAGTCAACGTATGCTTTTTTCTGGACCTGGGCCATTTCGGCCATGGAGGAAGTGTGTCTTCCACGACCATGCCGCTTTTTGGGAGGGTCAGTTGTCATGTGTAGTAGCTCAGTAGCAGTGGTCATAAGTCAGAGTTCTGCATGGCTTTCAACAGTTTTGGAAATTCCACAGTGAGGCCATGATCTCCAGCCCTCTGCATCCAGGTCTCAATTGCTCCTGGAGCACATGAACCTTGAAAACCAACCAAGCGCCGCGAGGGAGACGCCAGGGAGGGCTCTCTCTCTGCGAATAAAAGGGAGCACATCTGGAGATCTTTGACAAGCAACCACTAGGAAGGATTGCTCTAAACAGGAATGATTGTCTGTGGCTAAATATCTGAGAGGTGCTCCAGTATATATCATGAGAATCACTGTCACCTGTTGCCATGAAGGACCTTGGGCCTGGATCCTGGGCGATTTCATTCCGGGGAGGATTGAATAACTTCGATTGGGAACTTCACAGGAGTTTTCTTTCTCCGAGCTCCAAGCCACTGGACTTCCAGTTTATCCTCCCATGCAACTAAAATGGATTGGACAGCAAATCTCTGAATGGAAGAGGACTGTCCTCTACAAACAGGAAGTCGTAAACAAATCATGTCACTTTTCAAGGGAGAGAGAGTAACCTCCTCCTTGCACTGGATGCACCAAATGTTGTACACCCAACGTGCACACCCAACGTAGACCAATCTTCAGGATCTAATTTAGGCTTTCCAGTGTGTTGGAGTCCTTCAAGCAGTATCAGCAAAAAGGTACTGCTGAAACAAATGACATGATATTGCGAATGTCCAGTGATCTCCATTCTAGAGCTGTTGAAGAAACCTATGGCAGAGCTGTTCCGATTTGACCGGAACCAGTTGGGTTTCTTTGGTGGTCCTTTTGCGCCGGGTCCCCCACCACGCACCTTTCCGCCCATCCCTCGGCCCTTCAAGGCGCCGAATGGAAGTAGCCCCGAAAGACCGCGGCCGCAGGGTAGCTCAAGATCAAGACCGCCAGAGACACGCCCCCGAGCAACTCCATATGATCCCAACCGTAGGAAAACACGCAAACCTGGCCGCTGGAGGAGGGTTGAGCAGGAAAGAACATCGTTCAGGTGGGTCAATGATCTGCTTCTTCACATCTTTTACGGTTGATCAAACATGATCATTGCTGCTTTGTAGTGTTGACTTCCGAAGTAAACAACATTGCATGAGGGCCCATGTCTAAATCCAAACCAACCCAAGGCTTCATTCTCCAAATCCTTGATTGCTAGGGGGAGTGACTAGGCCGAGCACTGAGCATTGTGCTGCGGCCCCCCAGCTGATGCCGTCACCGTCACTCGCTCCAAAGACATGTCAAAGAGAGCACGTGCACAACCGAGTGGCTAAGATGATGAAGAAGCTGGACAACGATAAAACGATGGCTAAGACGCAGGGCCCCAACAGCGTGGGTCGAATGGCCAAATGTCCTGGTCCCACAGGCAGGCAGAAGCTACGAGGAGAGGCAGGATGCGCGTGGGAACCTGCGAATAGAACACAGGTGTGCATTCTTGGGTGTGCAAAAGTGCCTGGGTGTGTGTGGGGCGCTTGGGGCATTTGCTTGTGATGTGGGCCTGTGCTGTTCAAGAGTGAACACAATCCCAAATCAGATCCAAGTTCTTTCGAAGAAGCAACACATCACCGCATATCTCAGGTCACATCCAAAGAGCTTTCCCCCTGTCCGTGCTTCGGCGCCGAAGGCGATGTCGGTGAGGGTCCTTTTTCTTGGACGATTTCCATACCAAAGACTGACTGACTGCGACGAAAGTAGGGAATCAGGGAATGAAGAATGAGCCCCCAATAGAGATCCTATTGGATCCAGCCAATTCCCTCATTCCCCACCCTGCTTTCGTCCGTCGCACCAGTCAAAAAGATGTGGTCCCAAGATGTGAACTTTCGACTTCTTCGCTTGGAATTCGAGGAATCGGATGCTTTCGACAGGTTGGAAAACCCATCTGAGGCGAATGATGATCTGATTGCTAGTTTGGCTTCCCGAGATCTTCCGAGTGTTAAACACACGCAAACACATGCTGCACCACTTGCGACAGGTTTGCAGGTCTTACAAACGAAATTTGTCTGCGATGTTGTAAAACATCTGGAACACATCTTACTAAGCAACGATCTTCCTTGGACCCGAACGCACCAAGCATCACCAAACCTATCCATTTCACCAGCTCCTCTACTCCGCCAGCTCCTCTACTCCCCACCGTCCTTTGGCCATGCCGCCAGCTCCACGGCTCTTCACGAAGGCGGCCAGTTCCTCAGGCGCTTGGTCATCAGCTTTGGTCGTTGCCATCGGCGTTGCCGTCCGTGTTGCCAAACCAACCACTCCGGGGATCGGCAAAAGAAAAAACAGCCCTCAGCCGAGCTGCGAACATGCACCATAACCTCTCTGCATAGGTCTTGTCCCATAGGACCAGCATCTTTTGAGAGCGCTTCCTGAGTGGCGAGCAGTTTTCGAAAGAGATGCAGGTCAGGTTCGAGGAGCGTCCTTCTTTTCTAACTTTTCTCTCTAGATTGCAAAAAGGCATCCTACACTACTCTCCAACAGTCCTCAAACACCGTCTCCTTTGCGGAACTGCTACACTCGGACCGCCGCTTTTGGGGAGGTTCACCCCAGCACGATGGAGTCGGGTACACCGGAGAGCAACCCCGTCGAAACAAACATCGGAAAGCGAAGACACAGAATCACAGGATGACGAACGAAGCGAATCTATCATTCTGAGCAAAACAGCCGTTTAAAGGATCCTATGCGGAGTGAAGAAACATGAAGTCGTTTGAAGTCCTATTCCGACCAGGAAAACAATTTCATTCTTTCGGAATCTTTCATGTCAATGAAGGAACTGCACGAAATTTTCTCTTTCTTTCTGTCTCCACACAGATCTGCGGTTTTTCACCTAGCAACTCTCCCTCCCTCTTCATCTGTCCCATTCTTGGAGCTTTCTTTCTTCGCTTCAGTGTCCCATGTCACAAAACAAGGCACAGGATGCCGCTCATGCTGCGGATGCCCTCCGCCTTGCTACGCGCGTGGCTTTGGTGGATGCAGCAGGCGTCCAAGAAGATTCGCTCCTCGTCGTGCCGTCGTCACGCCGCCGTCGTGGCGGTGAAACCACCACGGAACGGAACGGAACGCCACCGGCGCGGGCGGGGTCGATGGTTTTCGTAGGGGTAGCCATTGGAAACAGTGGGTGGAGCACCAAAGATGTCTTTGGAGTGAGTGCCAGAAGTTCTTCGCATCTGCGACCCCTTCTTCTCTTTGAGTTCAACCATGCCCCCCCCTGTTCCACCCCCCAGCTCCACTGATCCTCCTCCGCACCAGCGGAGCGCCCGCTCACCGAGTGGCACGGCCAGGCCAGGTGAAGAGCGTCAAGAAGAAGCCGAGGAATCCTCGGCTGCTCCGCTGCTCCGCTGGATTTGCTCGTTCCATCCGGGCCCAGCGTCGGACGCGTCTCCACCAGGTTGGTGGGACGAGGTCGGTGGCATGTTTTTGGTGACTTTCGGCAACTTCCTCCATTTGGGTGATGACTGTGTGTTTGGGGGCTGTTTTTTGGTCGAGTCCCAGGGGTGTTGTGTTGCTGCCCCTTTTTGTTCGTGCTGTCCCTCGTGGTGGATGAGAGAAAGTACTCACTTAGATCCTTGGATTTCTCACCATTCGAGAGCTGTGAGATTGGTGAACCGTACCAATTGGCCACTGAGAGTTGGGTACGTTGGCTACATCAAAACAGGGGCTCCCCAGGTGATGTGACCCCAACCACAGCCAACGACGGACCCCAACCTGTCACCTGCACAGCACAGCATGCTCTTAGCAGTGCTGTGTCGGGAAAAGGAACACCTCTGGGTCGGTCCACCTGCCGTGGGATTCGGTGCTTCTCTGCCGCCCCGACGACGCGCGGCCCAAACGAAGGCTCTAATTGAGGGTGAAAGCCTTGCATTGGCAACAAGTATAGGGATGATTTGGGCAGACCGGGTGGCAGAAAAGGCCAGTCCGGGTATGTACAGGATGGCCCCATCGAGTCCAGACTTGCTGTGCTGTCTGACGCAAAGAGGTGCCCTCCCATGGGGCCCAAGGGCACCATCTTGGGTGATGACGGTTCCTTGCCGACCTTTTCCCCAAACTCGTGATCATCTGTCCTTTCACCAACTGTTACTAGTTTACAGGGATGCACGCTCTTTCTTGAACCCTAAACCCTTCACTGGTTCCGCCAAGGCTCCGAAGATGGTGTTCCACAGTGAAATGGTGCCTGGAACGGAAGGCGCTTCTCGACGGAATTCTCTCCGGAACGGCACAGGAACCGCCCCAAAATCCCACTCCGATGGCTTGTTGGAACCGCCATCTGCCGCGTTGGGGGCCTCCGTTTTCTTTTAACCCAAAGGCAACACCAGGGGTCCGGGTGGGATTCCGGCACAAAGGCTTCTTCGTGAAAGACGGCAATTCGTGAAAGCCCTTAGAACCAGCAATTGCTTTCAACATCTCGTTTCGGAGGCTGCAACAAAGGTAGCCAAATAAACGGTCCAACGCCAACAACTCCAATTATCTTCACCACAGTTGTAAATAAACAACGCTGAAATGCCTTCCGCCGGGAAGTCCATTGGGGTCTGTTCCGGTGTCGTCTTGATCCCAGAAACGACTGCCCAAAGAAATCTCTTCTCCTCAGAACGGTATCAAGCGTCCGTCGTTGGGAGAGCAAGGGATGTCATGCATCGGCCATGAACATCCAACCCCCTCCTTTCTACGGACCCGCCCCCAATAAAATCATGTCAGCTTTAGCTTTTGGGTGGGGTTGTTTGGATTGCCGCACCTGATATGCATCCACACCTTTTTTTTGGCTGGAGCCTGTCTGCATGAAAGTAAGTGGTGTGTCGGAACCTTCGTGTTTTGGTGCACAGTCGGAACCTTCTGAGTTCACCCACCACCCGTGACACCCCCGCCACCCGTGACCCGTGATCGTTTCCCATGGTGACTAAGGCGGTCTCGATGCCGAAGGGAACGCTGGGAGGCAGTAGGCCGTAGCTGGAGACTGCCGCGCCAATCAAGGCAGCAAGGGTGCCTCAAAAAAAGAAAGAGACGGCCGGTTTGGACGGCCTTTCTTTTTGTTTTAGTTAGGGGGGGTAGGCCGTAGAAGTAGTAGCTATAGCTGGTAGGCTGGTAGATGCTGGTAGGAGCTTTTCCGTGCCCACGCGGGGGGGTAGGACGTAGTTAGTACCTGCAAGTAGCTACTACTGACAGGATGCAGGATAGCTCGCGCTTCTTCAAGGAAACTCCCCCCGCCGCCCTGGCGGCCCTGGCGGGCGGCGGGGGAAGCTTCCTTGAAGAAGCGCTCGCACTAATGATTCGGTTCCTAGATTTTTAGGGAAAGCAACATTTAGCTACTAGTAACATTGTGGCAGAGTGGAAACAGAATCGTCCAAGAGGTCTTGGGGTCTGTGTGAGAGCATTTGATGTGAAGCTTTTGATGCGATTGACGACGACAACAACAACATGGGCAAAGGTTAGTTTGGACTAGTGACTAGTGATAACTTTTTGATACTCTTATCATCTCTTATCCAAGAATAGGAGCTTCGATGACTGAGGGCTGCCAATGTTCTTAATGGACAACAACATGATGCCACCGAACAACGTCTTGGCTCAAAGTATTCGTTGGAGTGCTGAGCGTGTTGCAGCCAACTCACTGGATGATCTCACTTCCATGGGGACCAATCATTGCCGTGTCAATTCAGTCCAAACATCTGTTTTTTGTATTTTACTTTTCGCTGGAAAGGCTTGAACGGCTCAATCAAGGAAACTACAGGCTGGCCGCGATCGTCTTTAAAAGTTCAAGCTGAATCGATCTGTACGCCCTGGTGTTCGCTCTGGCCCCCGATCTCTCTCTCTCTCTCTCTGTTCCAGCCGAGGTGGGCCGAGGATTGCTTGGCCGGTTTGGGCGGTGCATGAAGTTCCATGACCGATGGACGACATGGTCTTTAAACACATTTAGGGCCAATGGAACTGAACCAATGGAACAAAACAACCAACTCCTTGGTACGACATCAGGATTTCTGTGACCCAATGAGCTACCTTTTTTCCACATCTGTTTCTTTCTTGACAGGGAGCCCATCACGCCGGCAGGCAAACCTGACAGCGGTGCGGTGATTCAGTGATTTCTTCTTTTCCACCCCAAAAGCAAACGGAACCGCCGAGGATCTCCTGACCCCGCCGTGTCCCTGGAAAATGATTCGTGGTTCACCTTTTCCAGCTGTTCGATTAGAAGGTGTCCCCAATCCGACCTGAGCCGTGCCGATGCACTACATTCGGGGGAAGGTCGTGGAGTTGAAGCAGAAACGCAGCGTCTTGCTCCATCCCTGTTGGAACGAACGAGACCACGGTCACCGGTCACGGCGAATGGGGGCCCCCGTGGCACCGGTCGCGCACCGAGGTCCCTGGTGGACATGTCGAATGAGCTCAGGTTGGAAGTGGTCGAGCTCGGTTGTATGGAGAGTGGTGCCGGTGCCCAAATAGGGAGACCTCCCAGTGCACTGGATGACTAAAACCCATTGGTATCCCGTATCCCCCTATATTAGAATACACACACACACATATGACTTGTTGTGCGCAAGACAGGCTCGCTAAGGAACCACCGAAGAGGCCTTCTTTGTGCCATTCGACCATTCTGAATGGGGTCCAAAACGTAACACAACACAAACGATCACAAAAGCAGTATGCCATGTTGGCCAGAACCAGGTTTGTTTTGGTTTCGCCTAAATCTGGCAATTCCAGTAGCTCTTTGACATCCAAGAGAGGTAGCGAACCTCATTTGCCACAGCCATCAACCCGTTAAGGCCCGAAACACTGATTTCAACCGCCCTGATGAAGAACCATCCTTTACCATCTGCCTGGCAGAACCATCCGGTCTGCTCACTTGGGTCAACGGTGCCAGAACATCAAGAATTAGAGCCGACCATTGTCTTAACATCAGCCCCCTGACTAACATAGATGCTCTTCCCTGCTTAAGGGAAGTCAATTCCACAACACACCCAATTGAGTTCGATGCGGACCAGGTTCCCATGGTCGACGATGAGGATTTTGACTGCCCCAGGATGCATGGGATGATGATCGTTCAATGTGGATCAAATGTCCAGCACTGGTCAAATGAGTCAAAATATCTAAAAGCATCGCGATCCCCGCTCGCTTCAAGGCATCAGAAACCCTGATCAAAAAGATCTGCTGAAGGGAGACATGTCGGTTGTTACCCTTCACACCATCCTTCCTGTTTTTCGTGGCTGGCAGGTCCCCAAAGGAAAGACCTTTGGATCGCCCCTTTTTCGCACTCAAAAAATGGGACTTCCATTGGATCGCTCGCCTGCCCGCCTATCCGCAACGGCCAAGGATGGAAGGTACAGCAAGCAGCCGGCTCCCAGCAAGAAGTTCAGTTGGGTGTAATTCTTCAGCAAAGGCTCGCAGACCCCGTCAGCAAAGGCTTCAGCAAAAAGCTTCGAAGTTTCCCTGGCTTTTGCACTCTGCCTTCCATTGCAATCGTTGGACGGCTTTTGCTACCTTGCAGCTACGGCGGCGAAAATGGGCAGCCTTGAAAGGCATCTGTCCCGATGTAGCTCTCAGCTGGAAGTTGCACTTCAGCCAAAGAACTGCATCCTTTGAAGGCACAGTTTCCAATATGCTTCACGGACTCAGGGATCTTGATCTTCCTCAAGGAGCTACAACCTTGAAAAGCATTGTCCTCAATCGATGTGAGCGACTCGGGTAGCCTCAGCTCTTCCAAGGAACTACATCCCTTAAAGGCGCAATGGTCGATGGAAGAAATCGACTCTGGGATGGTCACCATCGCCAGGGAGCGGCATCCGGAGAAGCTCCAACATTCGATGCGAGTCAAAGACGAAGGGATCTTCAGCGCGCTCAAAGACTTGCAACCCAAGAAGGCCATGCTCCCCAGCGTGGTGACCGTCTCGGGAAGACTCACACTTCCTGGAGGTGTGTCATGTGTGTGGATAGAACTGTGTCTGTGTGTGTGAATCGCTGGAAAAAAAAGAAACAAACATCATCGGTCCCGGACTGGCAAACCCTGCTTGAATCTCTCTCTCTCTATATTTTGTTTGAAAGCCAACCCGATTTCAAAGAAAAGGTCAAAGGTTGACTGATTGGTGTCTTGGCTTCTCAAGGATCTGCAGTTGTTGAAGGCATACTGAAGAATGATCGTCACAGAGGTGGGAATACTCACACTTTCCAAAGAGCTACACTCCTGAAAGGCGTTCTTTTCAATGGCATTGACCGTTGCAGGGATGTTAATACTGCTCAGTGAGCTGCACTTCTGGAAAGCCCTTGATCCAATCGGTCCCCTCAAATAGGGCATGGACAAGCTGGTCAACGCGCTGCAGTCGCAGAAACCATCTTCCGGAATGCAGTCCACTGCACCGGAGAGGGTCACCGTCTTCAAGGCGCTACAGCCATTGAAGACGGAGGGTCCCAGATGGGTCACCGAAGCGGGAAGGGTCAAGGTCGTCAGGGAACTGCAGTGTTGAAAGGCCTTTTCGCTCAGTTGCGTGAGCGAAGTGGAGAAGGTCACTGTTTCCAAGGATGAACAGCCGCTAAAAGCTTCATCTGCGATATGACTCACGGAGTCTGGGAGTGTCAGTGTGACTAAGGAACAACAACCTCTAAAGGCAAAATGTCTGATATGAGTGACTGAGTTGGGAATGGTCACACTCACCAAGGAACTACAGTCTTCGAAGGCACCTTGATCAATGTCTGTCCCAGTCTCAGGGATGGTCACAACCACCAAATCTCTCACGTCGTTTTTTGCGTACTTGTTCCGACACTCAATAGGATTGATGGTGAAAAGCGCGTGGACCACTGCGTCAGTAGAGATCCCAGCCATTGCTACACTTTGATCATTGTCTTCCAGCTTTTCTCCCTCCACCACCACATCCACTGTGACCATCTTCCGCGTCAAGGGGTCAGAATCCTCGGGTTGCCATCCTTTCAGCTGTTGCTTAAAATCACGAAGAGTCGTGTCTGGAAAGACTTCAAGAATCACCACCTTGCCGTTCATCAACCGCACTGGAATTCTCATCGCCATTCTTCCGAACAGGAAGGGAGTCCGGACTCACTCGTAGGTATATATTATTTTTAAATATGCCAAGACCTGGAGAGATTTTTGGACGCGGCGAGATCGAAGGTTGTCTTTGACTAGCAAGGTCAGGGTTCTGAATGTATGAAAGTGAGTTGTCAGGCACAAGTCGGATTCCCAGTTAGAGTGGTTCAGGGCCCAGGGATATCAGGATTTCAGTGGTAAAATTCTTAAGCGAGGAACCGTATCTGATAGGACTCTATGAGCCGAATTGAGGCGACTTTGTGGCCAACCCTTTGAGGCACTGGACGCTTGGTTGATCCGATGATGCAGCGAGGCACGTTGTTTCACGACCAATTGCATATCCCCGGGCTTTGGAGTTGACAAAGAACAGAATCACAACTCTTTTTTTTTGCAAGTCAGTTTGCCACTCCTGATCACCTGCTTTTGAGTTTCTACATGTTTCTACCACAAAGGCAGGTTGGAGGCCATCGCTAGTAGGTTGGAGGCCGTTGCTTGTATACATTGAAAAAAACATGTCGGCAATCCAAACTACTAGCGATGTCCTGTGCTTATGACATCCCACACCCCTTCGAACATATATCCCTTCGAATCTGACCACTGCTTGCGCCGAGATGAGGCGAAAGCAGGTGCGCGTGGGGAGTTTTCAGCGGCCAGGTACAACTGAAAGGCAGTGGAATGTGAGGAATTGTCACAGGTCACCAACGGTTCCAAAAGAAAAGACTTTGCCAGTCCCTTTTCGGAAAAACTGGAGGCTTTGTCTCAGAACCATTTCCAATCATGCTGAAACTACTCCAAAAATTGTCCACGAAGCACAAGCATCATGATCATCATGAACGGATCGAATTGGTCGACACATGGTCAACACATGGTCAACACGAGCTGATCGACTATGATCGAATTCTGTGCGTACATCCCATCGAGCTGACGCCTCAGACCTCCAAACCATGGTCGATCCCATCTGTTTCTCCCGTCCACCAGCGGATCGACCGTTGCTTCGACCAGTTGGACACATCGGCAGGGTTTCCGGACACACCAGCTGGGTGAAAAAGAAGGGTCCAGTCATTGAATCGAGGAGCAATTGCCAGTTCCTTTTCGAAAAAGATGGAGACTTGTATCTGTTCCAATCATGCGCAAACTACTCCCCTAAAACGAAGCTCAACAATCAAGAGCCGATCGAATTGGTCAACACACATGGTCAACGCATGGTCAACATCGCGTCCATCCCATCGACCTTCGACCCTGTGGACACGGGTTTCCAGGTCAAACAGAAGGGTCCAGTCACTGAATGAATTGATCAGTCTTGTTGATTCATTTTTTGGACGTCGAACAAACTGACATGTCTTTTTTCTGTCAACGGTTCCTTCTCATCACATGATCATCTCACCATCCTTCCTTTTTTTCGCATTGAGGAAGTCTTTGGGTACACGTGACGGAGGGTGCAGGTGAGACCACCGCCATTTGGCGGGATGAAAGACGAGAACTCAGCTTCGCGACTCGGCATTGGCACTGGGAGGAGCGTCTATGAGACAGTCGCAACTCGTGTGCCTGGCGCTCCCATATTGAAGCAAACACAGAAGGGTTGATTCTCCACTCGTGGGCAATGGTAGTGGGTCCAGCAGCAACAGCACGTGCTCAAACTCAGGCAGTTGTGAAAGCCTTCATCATGATCTCTCGGAAAGCACTCCCAACGACAACAAAGGTGCTTGAGCTCGCAGCGTGGTTTGGAATCCTCACCAATGCATTCGTTCCAGTAGTGCACACCCATGCAAAGGCACCAGCAGGGCCAAAACCCCCACGACAGCTTCAAACCATCCCGTTGATGTAATGGATCAACCATTTCCACATCACCACCGCAGGGTTTTTTGCCTTATCTCAGCTTCCACCATCGGTTGGTCAAAGACCCGTTTCGGGAAACGCAGCCATTGAAAACACGAGGAAACGCAGCCTGACATCACCGGTGTCGGTCATACATTTCGACCTCTTTCGTTTTCTACGCATGATTCCACCGACATGTTGGGGAGTGTGGCCGTGTTCAAAAGGCCACCCCTGTTCGTCCTTGTCCCTTCGGGTGAGTTGAATTGATATCGTTTTCAGTCTGTGGCCCGAAGGAATTGCATTGGAAGTCTGCGAAGCTGAAAGTTGTGATTCGGTTAGTCCCTTGCTCCCTAATAGCATTTAATAGCAGCTAATAGCATGAACATAGATCTTTTTTGGTCAAAAAAGAATCAGCCAAGATCAGCCAAGCAGCCCCAAATGATGCACAGCGGCATGTCTGTTGCGGGGAAACTACATATCTGCCGCAAGCAGCAGCATTGATAGACCTGATGGCAAGCAGGGTTGAGGGGATAAGTCAGTTCGCACACGCACTTGCAGCAGGCTGTGAAGCTGGAATGCCCACAAATGGGCTTATCACATCTGCCACAGCCAGTGCCGCAGCAAATGCAGTAGTTCGACCACCAAAGGTCGCGAAACATGTCACCGGGCTTCATTTGACCGCCATGTTCCAGGCCAAACTCGAAGTCGTACCACGGCTCGCGAGGCATTGAATCCAGGAGCCAAGCACCGCGAGCGCGCGGAGCCCACACGAGACGAGCCCCAAATAGCTCAACGAATTCGAAACCAAAATTCACTTGGAAAGTCCAGAGCCCCCACTTGGACGGGACTAAAACATACAATTTGTTTCTTCCATAGTTCTTCTCTTTGCCCAAGCTACAAGTTCGCTGCCGAATGAGGAGGTGGCGGAAGAAACTAGGACAAATTGGGTAGAACGTATGGTCCGATGCGGCAATCACATGCAGGACATTTTCAGGTGGGTGAACCAGTTGTGAATTCTGGCTCTCCACAGGGGTCAGAACATGTCAGCACTCACGTCAATTAGGGAACGCCGGAAGTAGTTCCCTTTTCCTCTTTGATTTGAACTTCATCACACCATATCAAAAAAGGTGTTCACAGGTGACAAAACAAGCGTTCACCTTCTTGAGTCGACGCATGCATGGCCCTAACCACAGAAAATCTGCGGACCTTCTGCACCTTCGTCTGCACCTGTTTACTTCTCCGTTTCGCTTTCGTCTGTCGCTTCCTCATCCGGCGTCGCAGTGCGCACACCTCCAACGCCGGGGAGCCTCGCTTTAGGAAGAGAAGGCTCGAGATCTTCTTCCAGGATTTCCTTTGCCAGCTGTGGGACCAAAACTCATCGATCCTCACCTCGGATGCTTGATGGGATGTTGGACTGCGAAGAACTTCCAACGCACTTTGCCACACGTGACGAACGTCCGATGGCTGTTTCTTTGGGTTTCACTGTTTCGTAATAACAGGCGGTGTCCGCCCGACTGAAGTGGGAAGACTTCCGAAGATCACGGACCCTCTTGAAAAAGAGTGACAAAATTGAACAAACATTGGAACATACTCTTATCTACTCTCTTCCAAGCAAAGAAAAATATACCGCATATACCCCTGTCAGGACATTTTGGAAGGCGATCTCCATCTGCCAGGTTGGGGCTTTGTAAGTTCAATAGCAGAAACATCTTTAATCTCCCAACTGCAAGCTGATTGGCCGATGATGCGGTGCAAGAGCAAACATTGGACATGCTCCAACAACTCTTTTTGTAATATCCCAACCAGTCGCGGCCCCTCATTTCCAGCGGCAAAATGATTACCTAATATATATAGTGCTCATGTAAGCCGCTGCTTTTTCAACAAAGCTGTGCTCTGAGGTTAGTTGGTTCAATAGAAAAACACAGGATGCAACCTGTACATGCCACCCAAAGTGCCAGTCCGCGCCCGGTCCAAAGGCCCTCCAACAACCTGGAACCAGGAACGGAACGACACCTCAGACAAGCGAGTGAAACGCTGTAAAGACTTGGCAGGCCTTTGGGCGCATGCCCCCTCGGTCCATACCCAAATGAAAACAGAGCACCCGACACCGGTGTCCACCCCGCCCTATGTTTCAGCCACTGGCTGGATTGAAGGTAGCAGGCTCAAGCTGCAGGACAAGGTGAAAAGACCTGAAGAAAAACAAAGTTCGCAGCTGGGGGCAAGAAGGGGACGGGCCAGCAAATGCTTTTCAAGAACCGAACCAGGTTCATACTTGACCAGGTTCTTTCTGCCAGGTTCGTATTCGACCCAGACAGGAGAATGAAAATGGAGGGCTCATACAGAGACGCGTGTAACCTGGCTGCAGTTGACCAGGAATTTCAAGCACCTTGCAGGTTCGCACTCGACCGGATGATTTGGCGCAGACACGACCAGACCTAACAGGCATTCCAGGTTCGTACTCGACCAGGCCTGAGATATGCCCTCAGAAAAATACCGGCATCTTGCAGGTTCGCGCGCGACCTGACAACCTGCATGGTGAAGATTGTTTGTGGTGCGGAGGGCATGGTCGCTCCTCCTCGCCAGAGGGAGTACCATTGGAATCCCTCCGGCAAAGCCAGATCAAAGAACAGCTCTTTTAAGCGACTACGCAGGAGGCCTGGACTAACAGTATGAAGAAGGTCTCCGGGGGCCAAAGGTGCAACATAACTAGACAGGGCATGGACAAGCCAGCGGTCTTTGACCACAAGCGATTCTTGTTCCCCCATGACGCTGACCACTCTTAGACATCGGGAGAGTCCAGACTACACGAGTTTCACTTGTCACAAACAGCTCAAGCAATCAGAAGCAAAAGCTTTTGAATCCCCATCATGCCACAAAGCCTTGACGAAATCGCGCACACGGGTGTCCAAAGCCAGAAAAGAGGTGGGGTAAGCATAAAAATAAGCATGTCGTGAAACCGCCAGAACATATCGTTCCTCAGTCCATTTACGAACCACAATGACAAGACTTCGTAGGGTTCCTAATTGCTGTCGCTCCACTTTTCTCTCCTGCACGCTCCGCCGATCTAACATTTGCTTGGGGTTCATGTAGCTTTCGCTTGCTTCTTTGCCCACCTGGATGGTCCATCGGCCGGATTCCACTTGGACCGGATCCACCCAGGATAAAGCAAGATCCCTGCTGCCATAGTCACTGCGGCCAAGCGTCGCGATCACACTCGGGCCCTCTTTTCATGGTACTTGGGGTCCTTGGCTAACTTTCGCATGACATCTAGGACGGCAGCCAGCTCCAGCACATTAATGTGCTGCCCCTTTTGCTGCCATTGGTACGACAAGAGGACTTTCCAACACCAAACACTCTGGCGACATGCAGTACTCATACTAAGCTGGCGGTCACGAGCAAATGCAGAGTGGCCCCTTTGTGAGAAGCTGAGCGCGTCATCAAATACGTCAGTATCTCTTCACCATTCATCCAGCCCGGAGGATCAATGGCAGATTCCTCAGCCACGAGCCCCAAAACCTTCTCGCGAAGGGTCTGGACTCTGCACAAAGAACCTGCCTTGGAACCAAATCGGAGCTTCCACGGCCTCTCGTCATGCTCTGCCCTCGCTTCCCATTCATACCAAGATTGCCAGAGCAAGCTTGTCAGGTCGAGGGTCTCCGCCTGAATTTTGGTGACTACCAAACAGGCCAAGAGCCGAGCGACCGCAATCGCTGAAAAGCTGTTCCCAATCATCTGCGCCTTTTGGTCATTGCTCAACTTGCTCTTGACTTCAAGATGATTGGAATTGAACCCCATTAGCTTCAATTGCTCTGTTGGGTGCAAGCGCCGCTGGCCGGAGACATCAGTGACCAAATTTCGAAGCTCATATTGATAGGGCTGGAGCCTATAGGCATCTCCTTGCCAGCGCTTGAGCGCCTTTTCACTAGCTTCCTCATAGCCAGGATCACTATGTGGATTCCGCCGAGGGATAGGCCTTGTGAAAGTGGCGAATGGCTGATCTTCAGCTTCTGCCTTCTTTGCACCTGGCATGAGGAACCACTCTAAGGATGGCCGTTCGGTATCCACCTGCATCTTGCGCACCACGTAGCCTTCATTTCGCGCGGTGTGATTCTGCAGGACCGTGACATCTGCTGCTCGGATCACTGGCAGATTTCTCATCCAGTATAGTCGAGGGCGACGACATCGTCCCTACTCACCCGCGTCCAATTGTTGCCCTAAAGCCAATTTTTCCACTCTGCGCCTGGTAGTCGGTCGCGGCCATGATCACATTCTCATAAAGCTCACACACTTCCCATGGCGCCAACCCATCAGTTTCACTGACTAACTCCAACAGCTTTTTTTAATTTGATGAGCTCGTCAAGCAATTGGCTGCTGGGTGCTTCGTAACCACCTCTCCGAGTGTTCAACAAGCTGTGGTTAGCACGTGGCCACCCTCCAGCCAGGATGACCCGACGAGCCTGGTGGAATCGGACTCGGAGTTTTTTCAGTGTTGCTTCAGTCAGTTTCTTGATGTCGTCAGACCAGATGGCATGGCGCTGGTGCTGGCAAAATACTCGCCCGCGCTCAGGGGAATTGTCCACGGCCACCAGACCCACTGGGCCTAAGCGCCTGCAACAACCCCCCGATGCCACAAAAAGCTTCTATCACCACAGTCGCAACTTCGTCCTGTCCCCTTGTGTTGATCAATTTGCCAGTCAGGCTTTTGATTTGTGAGAAGCCCCATTTCGTCAAAGTGGTTGAGATGCATGCTCCTCCTCCCTCTTCTGAGGCGTCAGTAGCAAGAACCTGTCCTGAGACCTCTGTGCGCAGATCAGTCCAATGGGACGGTAACATCGCAGTCAGCATCATCAACTCATCCAATGCTTGCTCGCCAACCCATCCTTTTTGTTCCTGACCATGCTCACGATAAATGGCGTCGAACAGGCATGCCAACGGGCGGCGATACTGCACACTGTGCATGTTTTTTTGAGATCACTGCCTCATAATCTTTCGATTGCACGCGCGCTCCATTTTCGACCAGAGTCCCCAGGTTTGCAGCTAGAAGACTGCGCCTGAAAGCAGTCGCACTGCCCACCCAGGCTCGCTCTCCGTCAACTTGCGCTCCCAGCGACGACCATGAGATAGCACCCTCAGCCGACTTCTTGGGGTCTATGTCAATCGACCGCCGGCCAAGTTCCTCCCGCAATTTCAGCTGGCTTTCACTTGGTTTTCCAATGTACTGCCCGGCGTCGGTATTCAGACAACGAGCAGCTCATCAAAGTTGTCGACATAACAGAGGCGATGGCTCATGCATCCGGATTTTCTGGCTGATTGGTAGCCCTGCCGCCGTGGCAATGATCTCGAACCCACTTTGGATGAAGTCCACGATGTTGCTCCATCCCATTAGTGCAGATTTGACCCGTGGGTAGGCACTTGCTGACATACCATCTCCATAGCAATGTCCTGAAGCCTTGCGATTCAGCACAAAATATCCACGCCGCTTGTACCCTGGCCGGTATGTGTGAAAGCACTGTCGCTGGTCTTCGGCGCAGCACAAAATCACTTCAGAATCATGCACGACCAGCTGTCCCCACAGGCCGCGTAGCCCATTCGCTCTGAAGTCCTCTGAGGAACTCTCTTTTGGAAAGAGCTCGAAGGGATAAGATTGATAATCAACCTTATAGAGTCCTCAGCCAAGTGCCATCCTCTCGCATTTTGTGGACTCCAAACATGCCGTTTCTGACAAGCTCACCTTTTTATCGCAAAGTCTCTTCCTCGATCTCACGCTCTAGCATCCCCAACTCGACGAGATGACTCACAATTTTGTTGCATTCTTCCTGTGAGGTTACCTGCACTGCTGCCTCAAGCCTGGGGTCAATCATGTCCTCATCTGCAATGCGAAGAAGTTCAGGATCCTCCACATACTTTTTCAGCTCAGGAGCCACTCGAGAGTAAGTGGGTAAGACTTGCCCATGAGACCACCGGTATACATGTCCCGAAGACCCTCACTTGCATGCTCCCAATTCGTGACCTTGATACTCTCCGCATCTTCATCCAGCCACTTTTCCGTCCACTTGCGAACTCGATGGAGAACAGGTGCTTGGCCCTTGGTCAGCTCGCATGGGTGCAACGTTACTTCCGGCAACATCCGATTTCCACGTCCTGCGCAGTACATGGCATTCATAGTGAGCACCTGTAACCAGCTCCATGCTGACTGCCCATGCTTCCGTGAAGCCTTCTTGATCTTCTCTACCAACTCAGCGCTCAGCTCATGACCACCTCGAAAGCAGAGTTGAATTTCCTGTCCAAGTCCTTTTTAACATCACCCATGCGTGGAAGTGCCATAGGAAGGAGCTCTGGGGGCCCACGGCGAAAGTTCCTCAAAGCACAGCAAGGGAGAAAGCGCGCGAAGGGCGAGCTTGAACAGCACTCCTCAAGATCACCCCGATGTAGCTCGCTGTGAGCTCCGCCCCCAAGAGCTTCCTCAGCACTTGACGCCACTGACCTGGATCTGGGATGTCATGCCCCGCAAAGTCATTCTTCTGGCAAAATGCCCACTCAAAGTCCCTGGGATGAACAACCCACGCAGTTCCCACACAAGCTCTTCTCACCAAGTAGGGGTCCATTTCCGGGGCGTACTTCTCATTGATCGGTGATCCTCCATACTTCTTGTCTCCTTGTCCGACGAGCACGCCGAATTTCCAATTCCACCCCTTGCTGAGAGCATAAATCGTGATGCCTTTGCACACCCCCAGGCCAACCAGCCCCCCACTCCCAGGACCCACCCAGGAGCAAGGAAAGGGAGCCCAAGGAAGGCACAGACCTCTTCCTGCTCATATGGAGGTTCTTCCTGGTCCAAAAAGCACAGTCGATGCCGCATCTTGGCCAAGATACTCCGTCTTGAGTACTAATCCAATCTTCAAGCTTCTCCCATATTGGTGTACCTTTGAACTTGTCCTCCATCTCAAGGTAGATGGTCTTCAGGGAAGGATCCTCGAGGAGCTCCTCAATCTTCTTTCGATGTCTGTAGTCAGTCGAGTCAGCTCTCAATGCTTCTCTGAGATCTTCTAAACCGACTCTCATGTGATGAACCCTTGGGTTCACCAGCTTCTCCAGAGGAGCTACGCTTTTTGCAGACAATTTCCCAACAGATTCGCAACTTCTTTTTCTTCCTTCAGTCAGACAGTCTGAGGATTAAACTCCTCATCTGACTTACTCTCCTTCACTTCTTGATTAGTCCGTGACTTCTTAGCCCTTCTCTCTTCATCACTCACGATCGGATCATGAGTTCCTTCATGCCCCTCTTTTTGTGTAGCTTGCATGCTGCTCACCATATCCGCGTCATCCTTTGTATGCTCATGTGGGCCCCCTCCACAGCTGGCCACCCGAGACAATTTTGGGGCCCCCACAGTGGAGGCGACCACGGCTTCGCCACTCAGGTTCTCCCTATCTCTGTCCCTTAACCATCTCAAACCAAGGCTGGCGTCCCCTGGGAGCAATCTGAAAGCATCAACATGGATGGCATCTCGATAGCATGTATCCACCCTTCACTGCGCTACCGGCCGAGCACAAAAGTGAGCCGCGGCTGCCGATTCTCCAAACGTTTGGTGAGCCCATCGTGCATAGTGCTTATCCTCAATGGCCATGAACTTCACTTTGTAAGTCCGTCCCTCGTCCTGACCAGAATCATCTCCATCATCTTGCAATTGGACCACTGCTAGCCCTTGTCGTGACAGGTCCTCCCCAAACACCACAATTTCCACTAGTGCCTATCTTTCTAATTCATTCCAATGATGGCATCACGTACCTCCTTGGAGAAGAACCTACGTAAGTGCCAAGCTGTCTAATTCTTTGTTGTGCAGTAAGCGTCTAATGCAGCGGCAAGTCACTTTGGCAGTTTCGTGAGCTTGAGCCTTGAACCTTTTTCGAGAACTTGGCCTTTGCAGGTGTTTTAGTCGCTAGGTCTTCACATGTTCACCCTGGTTTCTCAGGTTTTTCACTTAGGCTGGCATGTGGCACCGCTTTCAGTTCAGTACACCCAATCATAAGTGTGCCTCTCCTAGTGAGAGGGCGGGATGAGCCCGCAGAGTGCCGTCTTTCGCCATGCTTTTGGGAGCACTTCATACCACTACTTCGCTAAGTCGATCCCAGCTTAGTGGACTTACCAGAACGCTGCTCAATCAGAGCATCATCCTGAGCCACCTGAGTTTGGATCGACTCCCACAACTGTCCCTTAAAAGAAACAGCTACAAGCAGCTCAATTACATTCTCACTATCATTACGGAGGCCCACAAGCTATATATATACATGATCATTTCCGTAAGAAAACGGTTCCAATACCTAAACAACTTGAGAGAGGAGAGGGTGAACGAAAGGTAGCAGGCAACCGGCGCAGGGGGGATTTGATCCAGGGGGGGGCCCCCCCCCCCCCGACGAACAGAATCAACTCTTACAGGACCAAACTCAATGCACAATCCCAACTCCTGATTGTAATACACTTTTAAGCTAAAGCAAGGAGAACTCAGGTAGCTCAAGCTACCTTTCGTGATTTATAGGATCATGGACTTGATTCTTGTTGTGGAACTTTCTTTGTATAGTTGCACCGATATCAAGTTGACCCTCCCTGAAAGCGACGAAGTCCTAGCGGCCGTCTGAACGCTGCTCCTGTAGAGGTCCTGGGGCCGGACACAAGGAAAATAAGGAGACAGCCCCCGAACCAAAGGCAGCGAACGCTTTGCGGAGCGAGCGTTGAAGCTTTGGGAATGCTTCTGTTTTGATAACAACCTTTCTTGTGATGTTTTTAAAATGCAGTTTCCGGAAGAATCTGTAGTGTTGATCCCCAAAGAAGCAACCCAACCCAGAAGAGAAAGGGCCAACCCCAAATTCTCAAAAGACATGGGAAGTCAAGGGACAGGGCCGTCACCAGTGAGCCATTGTTGAGTTTCTTGAGTCTTGAGCATCTCATGGTCAAAACCGCCGTCTGGAACGTTTTCTTCTCTATGAGGGTTGCTGCAACTGTTGATGAACGCCGCAAGGAAATCACCGTCCCCACCCATTGCCCCCAACTGCTCCAGGTCCAACACCGTCCGCAGGTGCACACACTTTCCCCAAAGCACACCGGAAGGCTTGCGCGCTGTCGGCCATCACTATTACCCCAGGCTGTCTCGCCTTCCGCGCAACCTCCACACAGAATTGCGTTTCAGGGCCAATGCCCTCACAAAAGAACAGAACAGCATTCGAGGTGCATGCCGCACAGTTCCACTCACTGGCCGGAAACCATCTTGATCCGGATCTGCCTTGCACGCGCCTAGAAAGAAATTCACCTTAAGGCCTCTGCAAGCAGCGAGATCCAGCGCCTGCTGTGCCGCCGATTGAACGTCCTCACAGTCACAAGCGATCCATCACCAATGCATGGACACGACCACCGCGGCCGCCCCCACAGTGCTGGCAGCGAAGAATTTCTTTGCACCTTGCCAATCAAAAGACATGGAAACTGATCCCTCCATTGGTTGCGGAAGGATCCCCGCCTAAAAAGACTCCAAGTTCTCTGCCCAAAGCTGTCTTCGGAGCCGACGGGTGGAATGCATAGCGTTGCTCAGCAAGCACTAGCACTCAACGAAGGGGTCTTACAATTCCCTGGTAAGCTCAACACGGTCTTTGTTTAATTACAGTAATTGCTGGTGAAAATGGACAAACGCCTCCAAATACAACAAGGTGTACTGCGTGTCTTGCAAACACATGAAGGAAACGGATAATTCTGAAACACTCCTCGCTTCAATAAATCCAGGAGGAAAGACATAACTGGGTGTCTTAAACTAGAACCTACAAACTCTCCAAAGATCTGGGAAGGGAACAAATTTAGCCTCAACTGAGGGTGCAAACTGGGGGTTCTCCGCCTGGGACTTCAGCATGAATCACAACGTTGTCATCATCAACATCACAATATTGTCATCGATTAGTCGTATGATTAGAATGGGGTGGGGGGGGGCAAATCGATTTCACAACACTGTCATCGATATGACAACTTTGATCATCGACATCGCAACCCCATGTAACAGTCGTGTATGTTCTTGTACGCCCATGTTATGCATATATATATGTATATACATACATATATCCATAGTTGAATCGGGATGGTCCAGGTATACCTTTGACCAAATTGCAGACTTCTATGCCACTACCCTTCAACAGGTCATTCGTTGAGACTTTTTTGTGCCAAAATAGAGGTTTCAATTGGTCACCTGTCGGGGGTCCTGGTCACGACATGTTGGTGACAACCAGTGGGTGTAGGCAGAGTGACTCGGTGTGGGACCAAGTGCAGCTGAAAACAAAATTCGCTTGACTGATGACGCGGCGTTTTGTGCTGGTAATGGGCTTTTGTAGACATTTCAAGCATGATCAGACATGTGCAACAATGTTGAAACTAGACCCTGACTGGGGAGATGAATACGCACCCTTTAAACATATCACATGCTGCTAGACATTTTGGAACACTTTTGCGCCCAAAAAGGCTGACTGTCAGATACCTGGCTTTTTGAAGCCGTGTAAATGTACTGTGATTTGCAAAGTAAAAAACACTACACCCATTTTTCACTGGCACTAGCAGTATATTTGAAGGAGTTAATTTCAGCATGAAATGCAATACGCAAAAGCCATGAAACCATACCCTGACTGGGGAGCTGAAAAGAAACATTTCCAACATGTTGATTTACTGTGTTCAACTTCGACTTCTTCACGCGGTTTTACCTCGAAAAGTCCGTCTCTCTTAGCACCTTTTTCAATGCATCAAAACAACACATGCACACTTCGACTCGTCTGATGTTTGCTTCCGGAGAACCCCGTCTGGAGCCTCAACTGACTACAGCAACTCCATTGAACAAATACAAGAAAGACTATTTATATAAATCTATTATAAACATAAAGCTCGACCATCTCGACCAGACATCCTCGACCATTATAGCTCGGTACCTCAAACCAGGGGGACTTGCCCTCGCAGGTCCGCAAAACCCCGCAGCCGCTAGGCAGCCATCTGCTAGGGCAAGGACAGAGGCGACCCCTAGCCACCGACCATGCGTAGACCCAGCGCGGGTATAGCGCGGGTAGACTCGCAGGGCCAGGAGGCCCTCTCGGACGAAAGCGGAGAGGCGAGAAAACCACCACCACCACCACAACAACAACAACCACCACAGCCACAGCAACCGCCACAACCACAAGAACCACAAGAACCACTACAACCACCACCGCAACACCACCAACAAGCACAACCACCACCACAAGTCTCACCCGTTTGCCTCTGCAGCCTGCCACTGGGCCCCTGCTGGCCCGCTGTTGGGCGTAAGCCCCTGAAATGTCGTTACACACAAAACCATGTCCTCGAATGTGGCATTCAGAAGAGCAATACATATATTAATGTGAATCTCGCCCCAACTACACCACATGTACTTCTTAAAAGTCCTGCTATTCCGACCCACCGAAAACATAACACCACACTCCGACGCGGTGGGCGCCGCGGTGGGCGGTGGGTGGTCCTTGGCCTTGGCCGTCGGCCGCCGTAGGCCGCGCAAGGCGCAGGCCACGGGGACGGCGCGCAGCAGCTCGGGACGAATGACCTGAGGTGATGAAGAGGTGGATCTGGCGGAGGATTTTGGGTGAAGTGGAGATGTTGGACTGAATCACTGGTGGTGAATTATGTGAGGGGAATACTTGATGAAGTGTTTGAGGTGCAACAGAAGCAGGATGTGCATCACTTATTGGTGGATGCACATGCAATGTGCAGATTTAAACCAAGCACACAGGAACCACAGGCTAAGTACTTGAGGCCTGATTGAAAGGGTGGCTGTGTAGCTTCCTGCGCGATGATGAAGTATATTTTTCATTCATGTAATTATGTCATATAACATCACAACTACATGGGCAATATGAATGGAGGCGGCTCACTGTCAGGTTCGTGTAAACATGCAAAGCCCACCACCACGAGTAGCGACCACAGGCTCGTGTGGTTCTGCCCCACTCCGACTCTGGACTCTCCTTTCCCACCCCCGAATGTGGCCTCCATCTTGCAAATCCAATCGGCCATCCAATCCACCTGCACATGCGGCGCAGCGGCTCGCGTGCTGCGTGGTTCGGTGGAGAGATGGAGGATGTGGGCATTGGGCGGGACGGTTGTTCGGGTGGATTGTGGCAAGGCGACGGACTTGGATGCACGCTTCAACAGTCTTTTCCCAGTGGATCCAGCTCGTTTTTCCAAAAGCAAGTCTTTGAGACCACTTCCTCCGCAAATCGTTCAAAGCTATGGTTTCCATCATTTCCATATCGTGCAGTGCGACTGGTTCTGGCGACCGCCGCGCTAAAGCCAGAAAGAGTGGTGGCGGTCCGGGAAAAGCGAGCTTGAATCTGATCAGATTCATTTGGTTGACTTGAAATCTCCATATGGTTTCCTTCTTTCTTGACTCAAAAAAACTGGCATCCTTCACTTGAATGAAAAACCGCTCATCCCTTCTCTCAGCGAGCTGAAAAGTCGTGGCTGCTGAGTCGTCTGGTCCTCTGAGTTGCAAAACACGGGGGAAGGGACACCGTGCGTCCGTTCTGTGCTTCGGTGGTCGGACACCGCGCGTCAACATCCGACGGGCCAATGGGTGCAAGAGAAACAGTGCATCACAAATGACAATAGCGCCACTTACTTGGCAAGAGGAAACACTCGAACTGAAAGGCGCAGGTTTTTTGGGGTCGCACCAGACCCATGCACTGGTCAATCGCAACAAGGACGATAGATCCCGCACTGAAGCCAAACATCGCGCAAAAATATGCCAAGGTACCACGATGTCTTTGGGTGTCTCCTCGTCGTTTTCCTTGGAGGCGGTGGGCCGCCAAGCACCAAGGAGCACTAAGGAGAATGTCTTGGTACTTGTCTTGGTATAAAGCCATGGAATTTCTAGAAGCAACATAACAAATGCAACCAACTCCCACCACCTTCCAAACCCCCTTCCGAACGTTTGCAGCAACCACCGTTCGGGACCGACACCGCTTGCAGCGGTTTGCTCTTGGTCTCGAGACATCTCCGGCGGTTCGCGTTCCGGCTTCCGGTTGACGACCATGGCATAGGTCCCACGCGGCCCCAAAGGTCTTCTCCACGTCTTCATCCGTTTTGCACATGGGTTCCTGTATGAAGCTATGAAGATATAGCTAACCCTGCTTCACATGTCCAGAGTCAGATAGAGCTATATACATGGGGCGTTTTAAACTTGAAGCTCTGTGGGTCAAACATCTAGTGTTACTGACCTATCCCAAGCCTCCAAGCAAAGCAATAGGTGGGGACCTCCAGTAGTAGAGAGTTCTGTCGTCAACAGTCCGAAGTTTTTGAACACACCCTCAAATGCTATTGAACTCAATGAGGCTTGGACTCCTGTTACGGCCTGTTTTCTCGACGAAACCACCTCGGAGATGCCATGGGGCTTCTCTGATGCCATGCGGGTTAGGGTCTCATCCGTCTCATGGGTCCGCCCTCCCATGACCAGCAAGTGGAGTGAAGACCATCATCTCGTACCGACGTGCTGGTTTGCTGGGACGCCTCCCTGGGAGGCACCCTGCCTGCTCTTGTCAGACACAAATGTGACTCCTCAGCTACTGCTCCAACGAGGAGTCATGGTGTAAAAACCATGAAGAACCATGAGGAACCAGGAGATGACTCCCCCCCGCGTTGTGGCTTGGTCCAAGTGAAGGGGGAATTACCCTTCTGTTCATGCACGATGCTAAGAACATCTAACGACCGTAGCGGGGTAATCCCCTTCCTAATGGAGACTCTTGATAGCAAACACCCCTGAGACATGGATTGCAAAACCTCTTCATCACGAGTCTACATGATTGCTTCACCACCACGAAATGATTGACTTGTCCACTTCTTCTTTTCTTCCGAAGGACCCGAAGGAAATCCCCGGACCCCAATTCAGGGCATTTACCCCATCGAGCTGCCGCTCCGACCACCTCGGCCGCCATCAACGTCCGTCCGGGAGACCCGCCGCTCGGTTGGCAAAGCGGAGAACTTCCGTTGGGGGTCAAAAAGGGGATCTGGAAAAGGTGGAGTCGGCAGAGAGGTGGGTTATTTTTCCACCAAAGATGTGATTTTTACTGTTGCTTCTCAGGTTTGTTTGGGTTCCATTTTCCTCGATATATTTCTTTCTCCCGATTGCTCTCGATCTGACTTCGGATGCGAATTTTGCTGTACGTAGGACAACTCCTGAACTCGGTGCGATTTCTTTGTGATGACGTCTCCTTCATCTTTTGCATCACACGTCCTTTGGCCCGTCTGGCCATCGGCTGGACCCGTCCTCGCCGCGTGGTCCCCGATGCACTGTGCAGGGACGGCCAGACTCGGTCACTCGTGGACCGTGGGGAGCCCAAGCTGCGGGTGGAGAGGCCAGCTGTGCGCGAGCGGAACGCGGAACGCGGAACACATTCAGATCACACGAAGCAAGAGATTGGCGTACTGAATGGCAATGTGGGATCCGCCCCCCTGCTCAACAATCTAAGGATTCCTCTGTGATTCCACGAGGTTCACGATTGACAAGTTGGTGTATACTTTGGTGTATATCCCGACATTTTTTGAGGGCCCCAGTGGATGATGGATAGCAACGGCACCCATGCCCGGCAGTTTATTTTCTAAACCAAATTCATTCAAACCCTGATGGTAGGTCCGGTTGTCTAACCAAACATCCTAGATGGAAAGACAAAAAGAACTCCTGGATGCGGTCGCAATGATTCGTAGTTTTCGCTTCTTTCTCACAAATCGGTCGGCCGTCGGTGGTGCTTGTTCACTTAAATCACCATTCAACACATCAGTGGATGAGTTCAAGCAACATCCGCAGACTGACACATCCAAGCAAACATTTTGTCTGATGTGATGGCTAGGCTGCTCAACAATCGTCATCCTTTACCTGGACACATTGTCTCATTAATACGACAATCCTGCGAGCCAGTGGGAGTTTCACGTCCACGAACAAGGTTGGACCTGTCTACACACTGTTGTCAGCAAAGTTGGTCGTTGGCAAACACTGCACACGTTGGTTGCACTACCATGCGCCCTGTACCATGCAGGTAAATGAAGAATTAGTCTTTCTATCCTTGGGGCCCTAGTATTCCAACCTATTCCAACCACCACTTCAACCAGTCACAAGCTTCGCTCTCACCGCACCGGTTCGCTCCGAACCGTTTCTGCGGCTCCGGACGCTCCGGTCACCCGGTCCGATAGACGGTCCGGTCCGTTCGGCCGTCACCGGTCGACGTAATTCGGCCACCATCGTCGCTATTCCAATCCGCCCACGAGTGGGCCCATTCTATCAAGAGTCAGACGTGTCATGAGATGTCATGTGAGATGTCATGACGATGTGTCATGATTCCCCAGCTGTTGGGGATTCTTCTTTTCGCCACCGTCTTTCCCCCCCCCTGCGGCTCGGTCCGTGTGGCCGCCGGCGCTTGGTGGAGGGCGCCACATGGCGAGTCACATGGCGTGGAGATCGAATCATCCACTTTCTACTGACTGGTGCGACGAAAGTAGGGAATGAGGGAATGAATTCGCCCCAATAGAGATTCTATTGGTTCCAGCCAATTCCCTCATTCCCCACCCTGCTTTCGTCAGTCCCTGCTTTCGTCCGTCGCACCAGTCAGTCTGTTGTCCTGTTGAGCCTCGGTGCCTCGGTGCGATGGATCGATCGTCTTCCGGTTTTCGATCGCACGGATCAACGGGAGCGCTCCAGGACCTTCATCCTGTGTGACGTTCGTTGCTCCAAATGGTGTTCCAACCGTTGGGCGCCTTCGACGGGATCCGTTTTGACGCCCTGTGTGACGCCACAAAAATGCCTGGTTTTGAACGGTGGTTTTGTTCGTGTTGTGTTGTCTCCCGAGTGCTGACGATCGAACAGATCAAGTATTCAAAGGATTCCAGAAAGGTGAAGAACATTCCCAAACAAATTGTGATGAGGACATATATTGCAGACCATGAGGAAAACATGCCCAAGACGTTTTTCCATTGAAAAGAGCGATATTCATATTCATGACAAAAACTCTTCACAAACTCATGTCCTTTGATCTCTGATCCCTGCTTCCGTTCAGCTCCTCTGCAGCGATCCGTGACAGATGATCGAAGCTCGCTCCCCTTTTGAGGCGATGCGATCTGTGACAGCCACCGATCGGACCATGTTGCCCGGTCCCCCGAGTCAACTCCCTCTGCCACCTTACGCGTTTGGCTTCGATGCGGATCCATCCGAACGACCTGTTTCTTCGCTCTCCTCCCCAACCGTCCACTTCCACCGATTCACAGCACCTCGCCGCTGCCGCACCCGCCAGCACCCTTTTGGCATCACCGGGCTCGTCGGACGAGTCCTGCCGGACCCGCTGCCGGTCTCACCCGGTGCGCTGGCGCTTCTCGGGTGGGCCGCCTTGCGCGGGCGGGCGAAGGTGGAAAACACCGGTGCGACACGGCGTGGGGGAAGGGGGGGAAACATTGAAAATGGATGAATTTGGCCAAGGATGAGAAGGAGCGGTCAGGTTTGCTGGAAGGTCAAAACAAGGAAATTATCATATAAACACATCTATGGTGGCGTCAGGCCTCGCTTTTATATTTTCGCACGTCATTTCGTGGTGAACCTTCGACTTCGCATAAAAACCGCACGAACCGCATCTACGACTCGGTGACGCTTCGCTGAAGCAAGCTGATGAAGCAAGGGCATCTTCGTTCGGTCGTGAGTCGTTGGTGATTCGATTCCGCCCATTTGACGCTGGCACCGGATCCTCAGGATCCGTCACAGGCACGCCCGCGCGGCGCGTCACAGGCAAGACACAGGTTTTTCTTTTCACTGAACAAGGCGTGGCACGGATGGATGAACCCGTTGGTGGAAGACTGCGCAATGACGAGAGATCTCGTGATGGACCCATTTTGGCCCTTTTTGGGCCAGCGGGGGCTACTAGGAGTCTTCATAGGCGCCCATGCTCTCATGCGGATCTCCTTCCAGCGTCTTCATGTCAGTCATGGAGGGAACCTCGATCAATTTTGCTGGTGAAACTGGTGCCATGATGTCATAATAAGTCATATAATTAGTGTCATAAGATTACTCTAATGTTTGTTATTGAGACAAACTGCAGGAACGGCACAACTTGCATTCTTCGATTCCCGCTTCCTGTCTGGTCCAAGCAGAAGAGCAGAAAATTCAGCCAACAGGCCGCATCTCACGCTATTCATGACTCCTCAAAATTCCTTCTGAAAAAGAGCTTTGTTTCTTCCGTACGCACCTCTCCCAACATGTTCTCCAGACCCATGGCTGAGGTTGCGAAGATCTGTCGCCCAGTGTCGGCTCGAAAGGTTTTTCAATTCGTCTCAAATGAGCCACATCCTCTGTACTCTGAACCCGTACGGAATGGGAATCCAACGATTCCCAGCTCGTCGGCACCGTCATCCTGTCCTGTCCGCCGTCGAAACAGCGCGTCGAAACGAGGCCTCTGGGCACGGAGAAGCGCAGGCGCACCTGGAGCCGTTGCGGAAGGAGAGATGTGATGGTACACTCCCATAGTTGGTACCACTCAGTGTTTTCTTTTTGGGCGGCCCGTGGATGGGTCAAACATCATGTGAGTTAATTAGGGTCTATCCTATTACCAGCAACAGTGGATGATGGTTCAGTTGCAGGGCCGACATCTCTGACATAGTGATGGGCTTGTGAAACCCGACTGTTACTAGTAGCAGAGACCCAAGTTACACCCGTTTGAGATCCTTTGAGTGGACGAAGTGGAGGAACATCGCCCTTGAGGCCATGCCACTTCCAGCTTGGGGGGTAGGTCGTCGATTCAGTTTGTTGGTGGGGGCCATGGCCTCTCGGTCGAAATTGCTTGGGGCTATGTGTTGCTATGAGTGTCCCAAAACACACCGTTTCAACTAATGCGCACACCGTCGACTTCCTAGCACGGGGCATTCGCCTTTCGAACGTCCAGAGAGACATGCCAGGTCCCTCGAAAGCACGCACCGCACGCAGATCAGCCAGTCTCTCACCGCTTTGAACTGAGCGCTCAAGCGCTCAAAGAGGATGTCGTCAATTTCATGACCCCAGGCGCTGGTCATCTCCACTCGGAAATGCCGCAAGGTCCCACAGCAGACGTTCTCACCACACTTTCTCTAAGGAATCGTCCGCTGCTTTGCTGTCGATGGCTCTTCTGTCAAGAGCTCTTGCAGTCTCCCATCCCAGGCACTGCATAGGAAACGCCCGTCCACCTCACAAGACCGAGGGAGCCATTCCCGATCTCGTCTTCGCATCCCCTCATGAGCCCTACCCGGTGCTTATGGTGTTCGACCTTCGTTTCCTTGTGCAACTTCAACAGGTTTTTGCCCGGCCACATGCCGCCGCCCCCACACGGCCCGGACAAGTACTGGACAACACAGGTCTCCTGTGCGATCGGTTGCGCTGCGTGCGCTGCTAGGCCGCTCTCCGGCCTGTCTCTAGGAACTTAAACCAAATCCAAATGGCTTTGACTCCGGGGATCAACCTCTAGTATACATCAGGTGTATGGGACTGACAGGAGGAAAACGCTGCGTGCCTCGCTCCCATTTTTCTCGCTCCCACCTCTTTCGAAGCACCATTGGCATCCTTCCGCAACTGGAGCTGTTGCTCGACGTCCTGACCAAACGCTCGAAGGGAGGTTCCTGCGGAATGGTTCCAACAGCTCGAGTGCTTTTTCCCCCAAAGATCCACGCGCGGGCGGTTGACGTGACACAGAAAAGACTCGAAGTATGCAGAAAACATGTTGGTTTTTCCCCAAAACATCCAACAAGAACAACGAAAAACACCCCAATGAATGTCCTCTTTCTTCTCGCTCACTGAGCAGTTTTCTTCACAAATCCATGCCATGCACAGTCTCACGCTGTGTCCCCCCCCGTTCCACGCCACACCGGGACGTGGAACGTATCGATGAAAGCACGTCGAAGCATGAGCTGCAGTGTTCCCGGGATCGGAGTCCCCTGACCGTAGAAGACAAACACTCTGGATAAGTAAAGAGAATTGCTGATAACAACACAGGATAACAACACACTGGACACGTCACTGGATGTGAGAGATTACAAACATTCTGCGGCTTTGCAAGCGAATCCAGCTGCCCATCTAGCAATGTAAGACTTTGGGAGATATCTAAAAGGCTTGCATACCCGAGTGGTTCGAGTTGGTAATGGTTCCAGGCGAAGTTGTTGTCAGTCCAGCCATTTTCGGGGAAACAGGTATGTTTTTCATCACCCATTTGCCTCAGGAACTTGGACATGGGCCAGCTTTTGTGTGCTATTACGCCTGAAAAGCTTTGCCCAAAGGACACATAAACCCGCAACCGGACTTCAGCCTTGCAAACTCACCTGATTTCAGGCTTCTCTGGGTGTGGACGCCGACATTGCTCCCCGAGACTGTTTGCATTAAAACCCACTAAATCGGCGACTGGAAACCGTGATTCACTCAAAAAAGCAATGCATATTGCACGTGAAAAGCCTGATATTTGGGACTTCTGACTCTCGAACTCTGGCACTTATCTTCATCTTGTTCCCGGGCATTCAAACTGTTGCCTTATCTTGTTCAGACAAGAAGAACAAGAGCTATCAGCTGAGTACAAAGAGAACAAGAGGAAGTCACAACAAGGTGAAGATCAGCGAAAACACTAAAAGCCAGGGCAAAACTGACACAACAAGGAACTAGAACAGTGTCAATCAACCAAGTTCACCTTGAGCAAAACAAAGTACTCGCAAATAGACCCATAACAACTTAAGGAGGCTGTCGGCGAGAACCACAACGGTCTCAGACGTGCAATGATATCTTTCTACAGCGATAGTCACAACAATAGCGCCCGCCATCCATCATCACAACGGAAACGACAAGTAGAAGTACACTCCCCCCCAAAATAGATTTCTTGGGCGAAGAAGAAGAAGAAGAAGGAGAACGAGGAGGAGGAGGGAGACGAAGACGAAGACGAAGACGAAAAGCTCTCTATGATGAGATGCCAACATTTTCTCGATGTCCCTTTTTCTCCGGCAGTTTCTTTCGCACCTCCTTGTTGCTCACATCTTCCCCGGCCAGTTGCAAGAGTTTCCTTGGAGGGATTGAGTGGCAACGTATTGGTGGAGGAGAAACAATCCTGGATTCTCCGTTCACATGGAGACACATAGAAATTGACACCATAACACTTCTGGGTGCAAGACCATGCTGGATTCTGTGTTCTCCGAATCAGCGCTTCCAAACGAGAAACCCACCGCGAGGTTTGAGGACACTGTGAAAATTCGCTTGCAGGAAACACTACGTGCAAGCTTTTGCTTCAGATTATGACAGCAAACCATATGATGGGTGCGTTCTACTGGAAACCGATTATCCAACATTTGTGTCAGTCCTCCACATCACTTTTGCCTTCAAGATCGACCATCTGAACTCATGACTTGCGGAAGCCAAGTCATCTGTCTTGGCATCAATCTTCCATCTGAAATAGCTTATTAAGGTCAAGTCATAGCTTTTGACTTTGGCTTCAGATGCCGTCCTCTTGGTATTGACTTCAGTCCCCAGAGGATGAGCTCGGGCGTGGATCGCCCAAAAGCTACGCAGCTGCCACACCTTTCAACAACGATTTCCCCGGCGGAGTTTGCGACATGTCATGACATGTCAAGTGGATTCCACGTCAACCCCAACAGGACGGTGGATTCCCCCTTCTTGTCACCATTGTGGTACTTAAGGATTTCCGTGTCTGTGGTGGATTCCGCATGGAAAACGATCCACCTGGTGCGTTGTTTGGCGCGTCCACAAAAGCACCACAGGGGCCGGCCGTCCAGTCCCTCCGTCGAAGCCACCGGCCCGAATCGCGGCATCGGCGGTTCGGTTTTGTGACCAACCAAAGAAGAACCGCTCAGTAGAGGGGGCAGACCATTAACCACAGCGGAAGCAACGAAAAACAATGACTCATTGTGGTTCTTCAAGACTCATCTGGGCAGCAAGTTGAATGCTTTTCGTAGATCTAATGTGAATGCGCCCCACTCTTCATAGGTTGCCCACTTGCTAGGACGTGCTTCCTAAATTGAACCGCTCTGTCGAAATGAACGGATTGCTGCTCCAAAGCGGCTCAATGGTCGCACGGTCGAACTGCCACCGGTGTTGACCGGGTCAACATCACATCTTTGACCCAACGGATGGCTCCAAAAGGCACCTTCTCCTGGTCAAAATCCCCACGCCCTTCTGCAAGTTGGACGGAAGCCCCCTCCCCCAAAAAGAAGGATCCCCCGGAATTCGAGGATCCGAATCTCGCCTGTCAGGTCCAAGCTCATGAGTTTGAGAGGTTCTCCGAGGTCTCGGAGGTCTCCGAAGCAGTCCAGCCAAGGGTCCACTGAGCACGGATCCCCATAGCTTCCGCCTGAGACCCGGCCAGCACCTCCTGACGCGATGAGACCCGGCCGCGGTGAGAACCGTTGAGTCGTCCCATCCCGAGAGCTCAGTTGATCGGTCTTCCCCGCAGTCCGGAGAGGACCGGTGATGATGGAGATGAGGACGAGGAATTGAGAGGACCAGGGGAATCGAACGAATCATGTGACAATACATTAAAAAATATATATATTTCAATATATGACTATATAGACAATATATTACTATGACAAATCAAATGAATCTAACGAATCAATTCTAGGGGAATGTAGACAATATGACAATTATGTAGACTACTGATTCATTGAGCCACCGTGAAAAAGGTATGGTTGTTACATCTTTTGTCCTAGGAAATTCAATTCACCAAACCAAACGTCGAAAAAACCATTGAGGATTACTCCTCATCGGCTTGGGATTGGCCGGGAACTCCTACTATCCTACTCTTCACCGTTCGTGCCCGCTCGGTCGCGTACGCTCGCAGCTCCAAGGCCACCAGATCAACCAGTCAAGTCAAGAGTGGGGTAAAGCTAGACTTGAGTTATGAGTCATGAGTCGCTATTGTGGTTGAGCCATGGGGCCCCCCTAGAAGAATGGAAAAACGAGAAACCGTGCTAGCTGATACAACAGGCTTCACCAAACACTCAACCACGGCAACCGCTGGCTTCGCTTTGCTACCGCCGAAAAGGGTGCCACCGGTGTTGATGGCCGTCTGACGGGTCTGCCCAGCCAAAACGGCCAGATTGTCTAGTGTGTGTGTGTGTGAAACCTTTGGAGTCACAAGGTTCCTGTTGGAATGTATTTCTCGGCAGGCTGAAGTAGTATGCAAGGGGCCACAGGGTCACTGCATAGCTGTCGCCAACGAAGCTCTATGCAGATGACCAGGATGCAGGGACTGATCATCCCTGTGTACCTGCTTCGAAAACAATGACTCCAGTGGTCCACCCTGGCCCAGGCTGTTTGCGGGTTTCTCAGGTGCTGTAAAGTGCTAATGCATTCTGCAGTCATGCACGAACGTCGCCACTTCGACCTGTTCGTCGTTTCGTGGAGTTGAACTTTTGGCCTTTAACTAAAGGCGCTCAGGCCTCCATACCTGGTTGTTCAGGATTCTGGTCTCTTAGGTTGCCGTGTGGCGAGTGGCATTCACATCCGTACGCATAATCTCAAGTGTGTGTGTGTGTATGGATATCCTCTGAATTGATGTCCGACCCCCAAAAAACCGGGTGAGGGAGAAAACAATTGGAAGACTTTCATGACCTTTAATGTATTACTCCCACTCCTTTTTTTGATTCTTCAGGATCCAACATTATGCCTATCTGAAGTGAGACGGTGCTTGGTCACCCTGCGAGGCATCACCTGCAGCGCACTGAAGCGCTGTTCCCGCAAGTTATCCTTGAGCGTCGTCCTTCAGCCCTCCCTTGAGGATCGCAGTGCCCGTCCCAGC